CATCGATTGCCTCCCTTTCATTTCCATATACGATTTCCTCGAGTCCTCCGACGTTCTCCAACTCCTTCTGTGCAACTCGAGGTTCTTCTCCTGGGTCCATCACGACGGAGCTCTTGTACTACCCAATGTAACACTGAATGGTCACCAACAGCTCTTGCAAGGACGCTTAGCCCTACCGCTAGTCGCTCGTGTCACCACCGTGTCACGGCTTCACAGTCTGCCAGCTCTCTTGACCGTCTTCAGAAACGGTGTCGGCCCCAATGTAACCAGTCTCGCCATAAACTCGCCGAGCACTAAGGAGCTGAATCTCTCTGGTTTGGCCTTCGTCGTCAACTGCTGTGCGTCTTTGGAGAAGCTGCGTTTGGTTGGTATCAAGCTTGACGAGGATTTCAATCAGTTCCTATGTATACTACACCGACTATCCAGTCTAAGAGAGCTGGTCATCTCGGGCTGCGGGGCGACGATCGATGTGAATATCATCTCGAGGAGGATGCCCGACCTCAAGCGACTCGAGTTAGTCGGCAATGCTCCTGTGGAGTCGCTCGCAGGGCTGGGAGCTCTCGAGGACTTGAAGTATTTCGTCAAAGGAGCCGCTGTGAACAAGGAGTATACAAGGCCTCTACAGGAGGGTAGGTGGTGTTGAGGGACTCAAACCCGTCAGTGTTAGAAATTTGATTACTCGTGATTCCTACTGGTTCAGTGTTCGCTGTTGTAGTCTTATCTCCATTTCAGTCTTCCCACATTTGAGGAGCCTCTCCCTTGACAGTTCCCGATTCACCACACCACGTATGCTGGAGACACTCGGAATTAACGATGTAACTCTAGCCTTACACTTCGTTGGCTTTAGATAGGTTTCAGTGCGCTATTCTCAGGTCTCCTTGTGGCCTGTCCAGTTGGAGGCTCTCGAATTGAAGTCGTCGTGTATCAGTCTCGCCCAGGAAGACTTCGGGGCATCTCTGGGTCGTCTAGTTTCCTCCCTACCTCGCTTGAAGAGTCTATCGTTCAACTGGGCATTCGTCTTCCCCGGTAAAGGCAACATTGACTCGGCGGTGGAGGCCTTGACTACTATGCACACCGTCAAGGACTTGCGTGTGGATTACCACAGCGGCGCATCTCGCTTGGGTGAATTTATAAAGAAGTTCCCGTGCCTTGAAGCTCTTGAGCTCACGGGCCCGTTAGAGCGGTTGGTGCTTGAGCCGAGTCTCAATGACGAGGAGAGGTAGTTGTCGTGGGGTTATTGAATTTCTTGTGGCTGTAACGCTAGCACGCTGCGAATAGGTGAACTGTGATTGATGAGAGAGTGACTTTTCCGGGAATTCC